ACCCCGACTAATTTGGATCGAAGCTCGTGTTTAGAGCTTATGTTATGCAAATGTTCGTGATGTGTGTGAGAAGGAACGTACCTACCTTTGACTCAAAAACGAAAAAGAGATAAAACTCAACAAAAACTTGGATCGATCTGAAAGCAAAAATTCAAATGTTAGTATGCCAGTTAAAAAATGAAGCAATCAAAAACTTCAATAAACGGATCATAAATTAACTAAAGACTCGAACTCATAATTTCGACCATAACGACAATGTGCAAGTGACCTACAGCTTGACTCTCTAAAAAGTCCCTAGCAGAGTCGCCAAGTTGTCATAACCATTTTTAGATAGAACAATTAAATATTATTTTAAAAAATAGTTATGACTTTAATTTGGAAAATTCGGAATTTTGGATTGATTTGAATTAAATTGAAAAAGAGTCGCCATCGACCTTTGGGTTAGGTAGGCCAAATACTTAAAAATGTATTTTAAAATTTTTTTTAAGAAAAATCATTTTTTAAGACAAAAATGGTATGCGTTTACAAAGATTCATTTAAAACGAGTTCGGGAGTCGATTACGCGTGGGGAAGGATTAACACCCCATAGCGCCCAAAATTGGTACTGTATCTCTTACACGTTGTCGTACATGGTGGAAATGATGAAATGAATATAAAGTTAAAATGCGATCCATTTATTAAAGTTAATTAATTTGCTTCGAATTAATTAATTAGATAAAATTCTTTAACATCGAAAAGAAATCTCGAAATTAGCAATCTTCTATCGGAAAAGCTAACTTGAACTATTTCTTATCAATAAAAGAATATTCCCTCATTAATAAATATGAATTAAATACAAATGAAAATTGATTATTTGCATTTTGCATACAATGAAATAAATTGTGAATTAAAATAACACACATTGCATCATTAAAATAAATTAATTAGTAACATAAACTTGATTTATTTCAAGTTACTATGTCGTTAAAATGTTGTACAAGATCGCACCACTTCGACTAAGTGGTACTTTCCACGCTCATTTTACGAATACGTGTCCTTGAAACGATTCGACTATTTCAACCACGAATAAAATACAATGGAAATAAATGTAATTAAAATACAAAATAACACGATCTTATTAAATAGAATTGAAAATATTATTTACATAATACACATAACCATAAAAATAAGTAAAATACATTCATACATAAATAACTAGCATAAAAATAAATAAACATTACAAACTAAAATGAAATCATTAAAATACAAATATTTACAAGACTAAAATAAAATAACATAAATTTGAAGGACTAAAATAATAAAAAAAAGAAACTAAAGGGACTAAAATGGAAAAAATAAAAACTTAGGGACTAAAATAATAAAAATAAAAACCTAGAGGACTAAAATGGAAAAAGCATAAATTTACATAGCTAAAACAGTAAAACAAAAACTTAAAGGATATAAATAGTAAAAACAGAAAGCTAAGGACTAAAATAAATAAAACAGAAACTAAAGTGGCTAAAATAGAAAATACATACATTTGAAGGGTTCAAACTGAAAAATAGAAATTTAAAGGACCTAATCAGAAAATATGAACATACCAGAGCCCTAATCTACATTTTAAACAAATTCAGACACTAGGAATAAAAATAACCCAATAATGAAACTTAGGACTAAAATGCCATGAATCACAAACATGAAGGTCGAATCATAATTAAACCAAATATAACACAGGGAAAAATGAAATAATAGCAAATATTATGACCAAAATCAAATAATAACCAGAATAGCATAGCAGGTAATAACAGGACTAAAACATAAGTAATGAAAAATAAAGGCTCGAAATCAAAGAAATTAGAACTTCATTTAATGGTTGTGAACTATATAAACCCAAAATGGGCTTTGCTTTCCATTACCCCCCTCATTTGGTCACTTTCTCAAAAACAGAGGGAGGGAGAGTTCTTAAACTCTCTGGTTTTCATCTCGTCGGGGAAGATGAGACAGCCACCGCCGACGACGCTCACAGTGGCGCACGGTTGCCGGTGAGACCCCGAATACCCTAAAACCCTCCTTTCATCACCCTCAACCTAGATCCCAAGCCAACTTAACCTAGATCCCAAGCCAACTTAACCTAAAAATGGCCCAAATCCCCTAGATCCAACTACTTACCTTTCTAAAGAAACTGAAAACACGACGACCGTCGTGCTTCCACGGCATCCGATGAACCCACCTCCTCGATAAGATTTCTCTCCTCTCCGATTTCTTTTTTTAGTCCTCTCTTGTTGTTTGGTTCGAATGATACTGAGGGTTTGACTCTAAAAAAAACTCTCAGTTTCCCTCATTTTCTTTCTTTTTTCCTCCTTTGTCATTGCATGTATGTTTTTTATGGTGCTTGGATGAGAATCATCATCTCTATTCGGTAGGAATGATGTTCATAGGCTCGGGTTAGTACCAAAAGCTGGATATTTAGGGATTTAGGACTTTTTTAAAATGGGTTTTCAGATTAGGTTTACTGTTGTTCTGATTTGGTTTGATTTAGGACTGATGGGGTTGTTGTTTGATGGACTGATCACTCTGGCGCATGTGGGAAAAATTGGCGTCGTCAGAGCTGATGTTGGTGACGACTCGATGGCTCGGTAGTGGGAAGCTAGAGGGTTGAAGGCGGCGCGAATGGAGCATGAGAGAAAACTCTAGTTGGGTTATCACATGTGCTCGGGTCGGGTCTGATCCGGGTCTGGGTTTGGGTCGATTCGGGTTACCAGTGGGCTTCTGGTCTTTGGGCCAAGCTAATTATTGGGTTGTAATCTATTTTGGAGATGCTGGGTTTGTTGGGCTTGAGTTGTAATTGGGCTTCGAGAATTGGCCTGCAAAATGTAAATATATATTAAATAATAATAATAATAATAATAATAATAAATAAATAAATAAATAAAATAAATAGAAAAGACTCGAACAAAAATGGGTGTCTCCACCTAGGGTTATGAAAAATCCTAAAGTGCTCTTGATTTGGACCGTTGGATGGGTCCATATTGCATGTTATGCAGCGCTTAAAGGGAAAGATGGGAAACTCTAGCTGCTTGGGTTTTGGACAGTTGGATCTGTTTTGGGATTCAACGGCTTTCACCCCAAAACCCTAGCAGTTTGGGTCTTGCACACGAGCCACTATCTCTTGGGCTACTTTGAGTGGGCTCCAACTTGTATCTTTAACTGTAGGGCGTTCGTTATGCGGCCATTTGTTTGGGTTGTTTAATATTTGGTTTGGACTTGTAATGAACATATAAATAAAATTAACAAAAACTTTAATTATTTACTTAATTAATATATTTAATATTAATTATTTATATCATATATTTGTATCTTTATATAATACTTATATATCTATATGTGTATAATGCTTAAACACACATACACACATAACATACAGAGAGACACATGTATACATATACATGCATAAAATGCATACTCATATAATAATATGTATATATTTAATGCCAACTATTTATATCATATAATATATATTCACACACCATATAATATGTAACATATATAGATACTCACACATATAATAATATGTATACGTAATATAACATATATTAATCACCCTCATCTAATATGTATAAATATTAACATTAATAATAAAAAAATTAAATTAAAGAAAATAAAATAAAAATATATATAAAAGCTCGGCCAAAAATCTTGGACGATAATGATTATCTACAAATATTTCTTAACCAACCTATCTTTTATTTATTTACTTTTACAAATAAAATATGTACACTAAATGTTAAATTTTAGTTTTTAAAATATTTTTTCTATAATCCATTAGTTTTATTAAAAAGAGAGAATATCTAGAATTAAAATAAATGTTAACAATCATAATTATAAATTAAACACATAATTAAGATATTTTTCTATAATCACAAAAAAAACTAGCCATTTAAAATCACACAAAGACCATACAAGAAAATGACTAAAAGTCTAATAAAAGAAACTTAAACAAAAGATAAATACGAATAGATATGACCACATTGGTAAACGAACCACAAAAGGAGATGAAAGTACTGAAAGATAACCGACAAACCACAAATCAGAGTCAAGCGACGTGAGAAAACAATCTATGAACATAAATTGTATATCCAAATTCAATTCAAGGCTTCAAACCAAGAAAGATCAACATGATAACATACAAGTGTCATTTTTATCCGATGTTATCATATTGATCAGTCGCGGCGAATGTCAAATCCAACCTTGAAAAATGATAAACAAAAACAATGATCAAACAACTGAAAACATGTCAAAAAAAATATAAAAATATGTCATAAAGACAAAGTTATTAAAAACTAAAAAAAATAAAGAAAAAATAAATATATACTATAAGAAAATAAAGGGAAAACAAAAAAATATCGATGGTGACAACCAATATCAAGATGGTGACAACCAACATTAAGATCGGTGTCATCGCCTATCGACAATAGATGAAAAAAAAATTAACCAATGACTTTTAAGGTAAATAAAAGAAAACCCTAAGCGAAAATTTATTGATATAAATAAAATTATACAATATTGATGCATCAAATATTAATTCATATATTATTTGGGAAAAAAGTATAATACCCCAAATAGTAGGTCAGTGACTAATTTAAAATAAAATTAAAAATTTGGAGTACTAAATTAAATAAAATGGTAAAGTATAAGAAATGACTCAAGTAAAATCAATGTTTAAGAGATAGATTAATGAAAAGGCATTTTGTTTAGATGTTTCCAGTAATTAACCGATTATGTTAAAGTCAATATTTTTTGACGTATTTTACGTACGACATAATATTTCCGTTTATTACCATTATTATTACCATCACATAATATTTTCAGTAAAAACATATAACATTTCCAATAACACTTTTAATCGATTACGTATTTAATTAATCACGTCATATTAATCCGCATCACAACATAACCTACGGGAATTAGGGTAGTACGGGGAATAATGATAAACTAATATTAAAGAGTAGTGGTAGGAAAAAAAGGGGAAAAAATTTCCCTAGGACCAAACAAAAGAAACGTTACAAAAAGAAGCATAGAAAAGTGGGAAAACACAGCAAAATTTTCCTTTTGGATTCCCCCTTCAAACGTCGATCTTCCTTTCTACAAAGCCTCATCTCTGCTTTATCTTCTTCAAAATTTCAAAAAACCCAAATTCCAATTTCCTCTCTCATACACAGAGTCACAGTCTACATCAGAAGAGTGTTGCTTGTTAAGTTATTTTGGCTATTGTTGAAGGCCAAAATTCGAGTTTTTGGTTATCTTCGAGGTAAAGATCTTCGGTTAACCGTTGGTGGGTAATCGGTAGTTTTTTTTCCTGTTAACTTATTTTCTCTATAACAAAGACCATCGACTTAAATTGATCTTCATTTTTTTTGCGGTGAAAAAAACCTTTTTTGGTTTAAATTCTAGGCTTAACCACCTTGTTATAAGATACCCAAATTGAAAATATAGTGAATGATTGTTTGTTTCTGGATCTTGTTTGCTTGTATATTAAATGTTCAAAATAGAAATTTTCTTGCTTTTTCTTTTCTTTTAGCTAAATATGATTAGTGTGATTATTGGTAACAAGGGCATCTGTTCTGCCTCTTTTTCTTCTGCATTTCTCTTTTCTTTTGATCTTTTGGAAGATTTTTTCTTTTGAGTTTTCGAGAGTAGACCCAATTTCAGTATTGTGGAGATCTGGGATTTGTTTAATCTGTTATGCCCAATGAGGGTTTTTTTACCTTCTGATTCTTGTAAAGAATTACTGCTCAATACTATCAATCCTCAATCTTGGCTTCAAGTTGAAAGAGGGAAGCTTTCCAAATTATCTTCTTCCTCTTCATCCATGTAAGTTTGTCCCCATTTTCTGTGATTTTTCTATAATTTTTTCTTATTTTTGGAAATAAATTGAGATTGTTTTGGTTTATAATTGTTGTAGGGAATCATTCATCAAGGTTCCCGAGCCACCCATAGTGCCATTCTTTAAACCTGTTGATTATGTAGAGGTCTTGGCTCGAATTCATGAAGAACTCGAATCGTGTTCTCTGCAAGAGAGGTTGAATCTTTATTTATTGCAATTTCAGATCTTTAGGGGTCTTGGGGAAACCAAATTGATGCGGAGGAGCCTCCGTTCTGCTTGGCAGAAGGGTGGCTCTGTCCATGGGAGGCTCGTTTTTGGGGCGTGGTTAAAGTATGAGAGGCAAGGGGAAGAACTTATGGCTAACTTGCTTGCAACTTGTGATAAATGTGCACGAGAGTTTGGACCAATAGATGTTGTTTCACAGTTTCCAATGATTGAGGTGAACAGTACTTACCCGGATACCGTTGTGATTAATGGGGAGAAGAGCCTGAAGAAGGTTAACTTTAGAATCGGAGATGAGAAAATAGTTTGTGATAGGCAGAAAATAGCTTTTCTTTCTGCCCCATTCCATGCTATGCTCAATGGTTATTTCAATGAATCACTTTGTGAGGAGATTGATTTATCTGAAAACAATATCTCCGCATCTGGCATGAGGATGATCGGTGAGTTCAGTGTGATGGGCAGCCTGAGTGATGTCTCGCCTGATCTCTTGTTAGAAATGTTAGCTTTTGCAAACAAATTTTGTTGCGAAAGACTCAAAGATGCTTGTGATAGGAAACTCTCATCTTTGGTTTGCACCAAAGAGGATGCCGCGGAGCTTATGGAATACGCCATTGAAGAGAATTCCCCTGTCCTTGCTGCATCATGTTTGCAAGCTTTCCTGCATGAACTGCCTGATTGTTTGAATGATGAACGAGTGGTGGAAATATTTAGCCATGCCGATAGACAGCAGAGATCGATCATGGCTGGAGAGGCATCTTTTTCTCTCTATTGTTTATTAAGTGAAGTAGCTATGAACCTCGATCCTCAATCTGATAAAACTGTTTCTTTCCTAGGACAATTGATAGAATCTGCAGAAACTGACAGGCAGAGAATGCTAGCTTTTCATCAGTTGGGATGTGTAAGGCTTCTGAGGAAAGAGTATGATGAAGCTGAAAGTCTTTTCGAGACAGCTGTAAGTTTAGGCCATATTTACTCGATTGCAGGTTTGGCTAGGTTGGGTTACATCAAGGGTCGTAAACTTTGGTCTTACGAGAAGCTTAGCTCGGTGATTTCTTCTGTTAATCCACTGGGGTGGATGTATCAGGAGAGGTCATTATACTGTGAAGATGATAAGAGGTGGGAAGACCTCAAGAAAGCAACTGAACTCGACCCTACTCTTACCTACCCTTACATGTATCGAGCTGCTTCCTTAATGATGAAACAAAATGTTCAAGTTGCTCTTGATGAGATCAATCGAGTTCTTGGGTTTAAACTTGCATTGGAATGCTTGGAACTCCGATTTTGTCTCAATTTGGCTAATGAGGATTACGAAGCAGCCATGTGTGATGTTCAGGTCATTCTAACACTTTCCCCAGATTACAGAATGTTCGAGGGACGGGTGCCAACATCCCAGCTCCGTACGCTTGTTCGTGAGCATGTCGACAACTGGACAACGGCAGATTGTTGGATGCAGTTGTATGATAGGTGGTCTTCTGTAGATGATATTGGATCTCTCTCTGTAATCTACCGAATGCTCGAATCTTGTGAGGCTAAAAGTGTTTTATACTTCCGACAATCGTTACTCCTCCTCAGGTATGCTCAGACTTCCAAACTATCATGTGTCTAATAAGCACTCATCCTAGGAATGTCGGAACAATGTATTCAGTTTGGGTTGCTGCATGATAATGCTTATATGACATGCAATGAGTTTGTGCTTCGATTTGATCAGGTTGAACTGTCCAGATGCGGCAATGCGAAGTTTAGAATTAGCTTGTCAACATGCATCTAGTAAACACGAAAGCCTGGTTTATGAGGGATGGATCCTATATGATACCGGTCACTGTGAAGAAGGGCTTCGAAAAGCAGAAGAGTCCATCAGAACCAAGAGATCATTCGAAGCATTCTTCCTCAAAGCTTATGCATTGGCCGACTCTAGTATGGATTTATCTTGTCCTTCAACAGTTATTTCACTGCTAGAAAACGCCTTGAAATGCCCCTCGGATAATCTTCGGAAAGGTCAAGTAAGGTTTCTTTTGCCCTACCTTTTTCATTTGAAAATCTTCTGTCACTAGAGTTTCTGCGTGTCTAATCTTGGTTGACTCGAATGTTTTTCAGGCCCTTAACAATCTTGGAAGCGTGTTTGTGGATTGCGGGAAACTAGACTTAGCAGCCGATTGCTACATTAACGCCCTTAAAATCCGACACGCGAGAGCCCATCAAGGCCTTGCGCGTGTACATTTTCTCAGAAACGACAAGGCTGCAGCGTACGAGGAAATGAGTAAACTGATTGAAAAGGCTAAAAACAATGCATCCGCCTACGAGAAGAGATCTGAGTACTGCGACCGCGACATCACGAAGGCCGACCTGGAGACGGTCACTCGATTAGATCCACTCCGGGTGTATCCATACCGATACCGAGCTGCTGGTCAGAATATGTTTCCTTTCTGTTAATAGTACAGTCAATAGAAAGCTAATGGTAGCTGATGATACTTGAACAATATGTTGCCTTTTTTTCTCGAACAGTGTTAATGGATAGCTACAAGGAGAAGGAAGCCATTGCCGAACTATCGAGAGCTATTGCGTTCAAAGCGGATCTTCACCTTTTACACCTACGTGCCGCCTTCCACGAGCATGTGGGCGATGTCTTGGGCGCCCTCCGAGATTGTCGAGCAGCGCTCTCCATAGACCCGAATCATCAAGAGATGTTGGAACTACACAGCCGTGTAAACAGCCATGAACCCTAAAATCTGTGTTTTTTTTTGTTTTTGTTGGGTTAATATAAAATGTGGGGGAGAAGAGAAAAGGAAGAGATTTTGAAATGTATAATTATTATGTATGGTGTGTGTGCAAGTGGCATCCTTTTATTCACCAGTTTTGGTTATGAATGCACAGTAACAAACTAAACCTATGCTTAAATTTCAGGCTTTCAGCTCAGATCCTCTACTCTACGGCGCCACGATTTGCAGCCGCCGTTCGGAGGCCTTGTTGTGGATGCCAATTTCTCTAGACCACAATACTGTGTCACCCAATTATTTTTAAGTGGTAAACTTTACGTTTAGTACCTTAACTACCATCTTTTTACATTTTGGTCATTCAATATTTTTTTTCAAAATCATATTTTCCATTATATTTTAGTACCATTTTGGTCACATTTTCTTTAAATATTGATGATATGACATTTTTTATGATGATATATCAATATTATTATTAATTTTGTAACGATAGATGATCAAAATAAAATCAAAATTAAATGTTAAATATGATTTTGGAAAAAAATTGAATGATCAAAATAAAGCAAAAGTGATAGTCGGACATTAGTAGTGTAAATTAATTTAAATGTATAACTTTTTATATTTAGGGATGGCAACGGGTCGGGTTCGGGCCGGGTATTGGTCCCCCCGTCCCCGTCCCCGTTTAAAAAATCGGTACCCGTCCCCGTTTAAAAAACCGCGGGGATTTAAACGGGGATCCCCGTCGGGTAATCGGGGAAAACCGCGGGGAAACGGGTATCCCCGTTTAGCATAAACGGTTATTTAAACAGGTATTGGGCCGGGTATTGGGTCGGGTATTGGGCCGAGAATCGGGTCGGGTATATATATATATATATTTAAATTAAATATATAAATATATATTTTTTATTTAAATTAAATTTATTAATATTATATATATATATAAATAATTATTTTTAATATTTATCGGGTCGGGTATCGGGGCGGGTAATCGGGTAATCGGGGCGGGGATTACCAAACCCGTCCCCGTCATCATTGAATACATTGAATATCTTAATCATTGTGTAAATTTTATATTTTAAATTTAATTAATATCTTAATTTTTTCTAAAAATTTAAATAAGTCTTAAACTTTTTATAAAAACGATAAGCCCTCAAACTTAGTTAATAAATCAATTAAGTTAATCTACCACATCATCATTCATCATGTATTACTGCAACAACATCGTGAACTGTCACATTAACATCATAAATTATCATATAAGTTTTGTGAATTGTCATGTAAGCGTCGTGACAATTTGATTTTGTTGGTTAAAAAATTAGATAAAAAAAATTCTTAGTTTAAGGGTTACATTGTATGCAAAAAAAAAATTAAGGGTTAAACTATTTTTTCCTAAAAGTTTGAGGTCTTTAAATATCACTAAATATATTTTTTATTTGAATGACACTCTTTTATCTTCTTGCTTATAAATTTTTCTTGTGTATTATTTTAATTTAATTGATTTTCAATATACATTGACATTATGTTTTTATTATAAATCCAAATAATATTTGTGTTATGAAATTTCTTATTAAATTTCTTATTTTATATTTGTATAATTAATATATGAAATTTATGTGATAAATTTTTAATAAGTATATTTTAATTTAATATTTAATAACTATTTGTTAATTTTTATTTTAAAAATTTAAATACTAAATAATTTTTATTTATATTAACTAAACATGTCAAAAAACTAAAATTGAATTTATTTTAAAAATAAAAGTAAAAATAAAAGCAGAAAATTCTAGAAACAAGCAGAAACATTTTTATAATAATTAATATTATTATTTAAAATAAATATATTTTAATTATTTTTCAGTTACACTAATATTTCACTAACTCATTATATCAACTCAATCGACGATATATATTACAATATCACATTATATTTATGCTAACGCTTTTTTTGGTAGTTAAAGAAAAAATATATTAGAAGATCGAATTAATGTTAATTAAAATTTTATTATTGAATTCATCTTAAATTATTAATGCTTGATTAATAATGATATCTGTCCAAACTATTTTTAAGTTGTTCAAAATAGTCATGACAAGTATATATGTTTTAAAAACGAGAGTTGCTATAAGTCGTTTTAGGTTAGATACAATCGTATACTTTTAAATTGGGCCGGCATCTCAAATAGGATAAAAATGGCTCGAAAATCAGTTATGTGTAGAAAATGTGTCGCAGCCGTTTTTCGAATAGGCCCGGAATTGAATTTCGACTTGAAAAAATGTGTTAGAGTCGCCACCGATCATTTTAAAAGCATTTAGGTGGATCGGACACCATCTTACCTGATCTGCGTTTTACCAGAAATGTGTCGTGTTCGGGAGTCGGTTACAGTCAAGGAAGGATTAACACCCTTGAACTGCTATTTCAGTACCAATTAATTTGTCGGTTGTCTTAATTGAGAAAAATTAAAATTAAAATTAAAATTTTAAAACCCGATTCGAATTACTTATCTTTGATCGATTAAAAATTCTCCTAAAAAGAGTCAAGAATATTGTCAGATTATAAATAAAAATAATAATAAAAAATTAATATAATAATAGTAATAAAATAAATAAAATAGATAAATAGGGATAAATAAAAAAGAAATAAAGAAACAAAATAAAAAAACAAATAAAATAAAATAAATAAAAAAGGTTAAATATTGAAATAAAAAAACTGGTAAATTTAAAAAAAATAAATATTAAAAAAACCAAAAAATAAATAAGTAAATAAATAAGGGTCAAAACGCAAAAATTAAAATAGCAGTGGCTAAATCAAAAAAAAGGAAAAAAAAGAAAATAGTGGCTAAATTAAAACATGCATAAATTCCTAGGCCATTTTCGAATAAAACATAAACTAGGGACTAGAATGTGAAAATAATAAATTTGAGATCCAAAGTAAAATACTGAAAATTAAATTCAATGGCTAAAATGAAAAAAATACAATTTACAGGGACTGTGGATGTAATTTACCCATCAATTAAAAATGCAGAACCCCCTCCACAAAACGACGCCTTATTGCCTATGCTATATATATGTTTCCCTTAAGCCAAAATGGCTCATTCTACCCCATTTGCTTCATTTTGAGACGAGAGAAGATAGAGAGAGTGAGAAAAATTCTCTCGACTCTATCATCGGCCGAATGTCCGGCCACCGCTCGGTGACCTCCCGGTCGTGTCGGTCGCTGCGAGCGACAGTCGGAAAAGACAAAACCACACCAAAACAACCCCTCAACATGCTAAACCCAAAATCGGAACCCGGTCATCTTAAAAACACCTCTATCAGAGTAGATTTAAAAAAAAACCCTCGGATCTTACCTTTGTTCGTCGGCGACGGATGGCTTCCCGTTTTCCTTTTATGATTCTCCTTGTTGTTTGCTTGGTTATTTAGTGGTATTTGATGCTTGGTATTTCTCTGTGTTGTGGTTCTCGTTGTTGGGTTGTGTTTCGATGTGGATGGTTCTGTTTTTTTTTGTGATGGGTTCGATGTATCGTTTGGCCTCACTGTTGATCGTTTGTTCTCACTGTCGATCCATGTGTTCCCTTTCGCTGTTGATATATGTGGCTATTTATACCACCCCTTCGGGGGTTGGTTGCCGATCTTGGAGTGGTCGTTCCCTTCGTTTCGGGCCTATCGATGATCACGTGGCCGGGAATCCCGGAATGGTGTAGTCCCCATTTTCTTGGCCGACCGGTTCTGCTTTGAGTACACGGCTCCCACTTGTGCGGCGTCGTTGAACATTATTAGAAACCCTAGTTTCATTTTGGGCTGGGTCAAGCCCTGTTTTGGACTCGAACCGTGACTTGGGTTGGCTGGCTGGGTCACGCCTGCCTACCCGGTTGGGCTTCCCCTTGGACTTGTTTGAACCCTGGACTAAAAAAGAAAAAAAACAAAAATTAAGTAAATAAGATATAATATAAAAATAAAAAAATAAAATATATATATATATAATATTAAATTTCCAAAAATAAAATATTTTAAAAACTATATATTATAGGTTTTCAAAAACCGATTTTAAAAATTATATAATATATGTGTGTTCAAAATGTTTTTAAAAAACTATATAATACATATATATATGTTTACAAAATGTTTTTAAAAAACTATATATTATATAAGTTTTCAAAATCTTTAAAAACTATATTATATATATATATATGTTTCCAAAATGTTTTAAAAACTATATAATATATAGGTTTTCAAAATTCTTTCAAAAACTATATATTATATATATTTAAAAAATCATTTTCAAACTATAATATATATATATATATATAATTAAAATAAAATAACAAAATAAAAAAAATAAAAAAATAAATACAGACGAAAATGAGTGTTTACAAAAGGTTAAAGCACCCTACAACATCAAACAATTTGATACCTTTAAAAATATACAATGGTCATTTTTCGAAGAATTGCAATACGAATTTAGCCTAATTTTAACATCGTATATGAATGCAAATTTTTTAAAGAAATATAATGGACCTTGTTTAGAAGCAACAATTTATTTGCATCCATTTAAAAAGGAAACTCACATTGAAGACACTCAATTTCGACCACATAAATTATAAATTATGATATAATATTATAATGTTATAATTTATAATACACATGGCATTTACATTTATGTGTTATTATTTATAATATATATGTGTATTACATAATATACATATCATATGATTTATTATAAATTATATAACACATTTATTCATGATACAGGCCCAACAAAACAGTCCTCTACACGCCTTGATCCAACAGTGGCCCAATACAGCAGTTCAGGTAGAGGATTAGGGTTTCTCGAAACCCTGGCTCTCCTCATCTTATGCTTCCAACCGCCAGCAACAATGACCGTTGGATCTAGGTAAGATCCAACGGTCCATAGCAAAGGTATCAAGGGTCATCTCCAAACCCTAGTTCCAAGCTCCATCAGCGCCGCACTCCACCCACCGTGGACTCCTCGTCACCCACGCATCTCACTCCGAACATTTCGCGCAACACAACAACAACATGGGTACCCAAGACTCATCCACAACCACGTAAAAATCCCACCTTTCTCGGTCTCCAACCGGCGTGCATGTATGGGACACCAACAACCAACAGAGTCAGAGTTAGATTAGGACTCAAATTAGTCTAAAATAGCTTTTTTTGTGTATAAATAAGATTGTAAATCAAACAAGTTAGACACACAAGATCCGAGAGATTACCACGAGGAAAATACACACATAAACTCACACTAACAAACACAAAAAAGGTCCAAGCACTTGTAGAGCATTTCGAAAAAGAGAATAAAAGGTATATTTTTTACCTATTTTTTTGATTCTGTCACGTGCATGTGATCTTCATCCTTGTAGATTCGAAAAACAAAGAGTGTTTGGCCGAGGAAAGGGGGCATTTTTGAGATCTTCGTTTGTAGATCTAGCCATTGAGGCTTATGTTTTTTAAAACGATTAGATTTTTTGGAAGTAGGGTTTGAAAGGCATTCGAAAAAGCAAAAAAATATTTTTGCCGCCGATAAACGGCGGCCGACGAGGCGATTCAGTGGTCAGTTTCTGGAAACCACGGCTGTGTTCTTCATCCCTCAAGAACACGCGAAGAACATACAGAGGATTTAGAAAATTTTGTTTTGATCTGTTTTGAACCAAATGGAAATTATGAGAGGTGTTAGTGGCTTTTAGCCTTTATACTTGGCCCGAACCAGGCCCGCTTGTTGACCCAAATGGCGCCCTGACCCGCGTGTTTCTGAACAAAATAGGGATAACTCCCATTTGCTCCCTCATAGTCTTAAAAGTCTTAATTTTTGCTCGTTTCCTGCAATCAAACTTCGAATTCCTTTTAATTTAACCTCGTATTTATGTTTTCTTTCAATTCAGTCCTTCCGCATTTTAACCTTTTTTTCTATATTTAAATATTATATTTAATTACATACATATATATATATATATATATATATATATACTTTTTATTTATTTATTTTTAATATATATATTTTATTTTAGTTTTTCTTTTTATTCCCTTTGCATTATTAATATTAGTATATATACACTTTTATTTTTACTATATTCTTTATTATTACTATTATTACTATTATTTTATATTATTATCGACTTTTATAATAGTTTGTTCATACGCCAATATATATACATGCCACTTTAATTTTATTTATCTTTTAATTTATTTATTCTATTTTTATTACCTATTTTTTTATCTCTTTTTATTTTATTTATTTATTTATTTGTTTGTTTTTCCTTTTTTTTATTTTTTATGTATATTTTTGTGTATTTGTCTGTGTGTTTTATTTCATTTCCTCCATTCTTATTATATTATCCACTTTTTATCTTACTTTTTTTTAGTTTATCTTTGTTTTTTTTAATTCTTATTTATTTTTATCACCTCAAATCTAACATTTTCTTTTTAAGGGTCTTCATTCAAATTTATCAGAGTTAAGTAATTTTGGATCGATATTTTACCTTTTAATTTAAAATTATAATTTTCTTAATTTAAGATAACTGGAAATTGCGTAGTACCGAAAGGGCAGTTCAAGGGTGCTAACCCTTCATTGATTGTAACCGACTCCCGAATCCGACACATCACTGGTAATATGCAGATCAGGTAAGGAATAAGGTATCCGATCTACCTATTTGTTTTAAAATAAAAGATCGGTGGCGACATCTAATCCATTCTCCTAAGTCGAAGCCCAATTCCGGGCCCACCCGGAAGACGGTTCCGACAGCTTGGCGACTCCACTGGGGACACAAGTAAGTGAGTCAGGCTAAGGTAATTTCCAGTTGTCTTTTTCACGAAAAGGGTAAGTTTAAATTTTAAGGTAACATTTCGATCCTTTTTTACTTACTTTTGATTATATTTTCAAGTAAATAGTTGTACTAATCATTTTCTAATGATTTAAGCCTTCAAAGCTTCTTTTTCACTTAAGGCTCTAAACTTGAGCTCTGAACCCTATTTTAAGTGGGGGTAAAAGCGACACATTCGTGCGAATTTATTCACCATGCGGGCCTAGCGAGTACCCTTCGGGATTCATATACCTTATGTCTTCGTGTGAATTTATTCACCGTGAGGGTATAAGGGAATGTGTCCTCTCGAGTTTAACTTAGTCTACACAAGCCTGTGATGGGTTTAGGACTAAGGGACTCGCAAAAGGGGGCACCGGCTGTAACATCCCAATCTATGGGTTAGTGACTAAATTGTAAAATTTTAGAACTTGGTGACTAAAGTAGAAGAATGAAATAGTTCAATGATTCATTTGGAAATATTACCTGAAAGAGGTAAGTAATTATTAGATAAAGTGAAGGGCAAAAGGGTCTTTTGTAAGGGAAATAATTAAATTAAAGAAAGGTTATATATTAACCACGTGGAAGGGAAGAGAAATCTACAAGCTTCCAGAGTTCTCCTTCTCTTCCTCTTCCTTCATGCGTGGGAGCCCAAAACAAAGGTGAGTTTCTGGTTAGTTAGTTTCTTGTTAAATTTAAGATTGGTTTATGATTATTAGATGATAACCAAGATTAAGGAAAGCTTAAGTTATCTTAAAATCAAAAGATAATAGAATTAGAAGAGATTAAAGATTGTGAGTTTTTGAATGAAATCTTGGAATAAAGTTCATATCAGGAATTGGAAGTTAAATTTGACTTGTCATCAATCTAGTTAAGACAAACAAAGTGTTAAAAGTGGAATTTAATCATGTTGCAAAGTTGGTATAATTCTTGAATTTCATGAGGAGGATAGGATTTTGAGGTTTAAGATGAAATAAATGAGTATATATTGGTTTAAGTATGTGTACTGGAGTTAAGAATATAAAAGGGGATGAAAGATGAAGGATTTAAACCAAAATGGATAAGTTTTCGGATTCAAGAAGTGAATTCTGGGCAGAGTGAATCGATACACATTCATTGTGTACCGATGCATCATGAGTAAATTTTCAGAAATTGTTCAGTGTGTATCGATGCATAGGTAGTGCATCGATGCACATGTTAAGGAATACATCGATACACTGTAGAATGCATCGATGCACTTCAAGGGGAAATAGAAATAAACCTTTCTTTTGGTCTAATAAATGATAGATTGGAGTATATTAATTGGATACTAATATGTATCAATGTATGATTATATAGATATTGAACACGAACAAGTTCCGGTATGATCATCAAGTTAAGATTATATCAAAAGAAAGGAAATAAAAAAAGGGGATCAAAACTTAGTGAGGCCAATGTGAGTGCATATTCGATAGTATATGATGGTTGATGGAAATAAGACTTGCAACAAGTCTATTTCATATAGTGTTGCATATGAATTTATGAATAGTAACTTGTGTTTAATATGAGTGTGTGTATGCTTGTTTATATGGATTGATTTGTTCTTGTATGTGCTATGTGATTTCTTTAAAGACGCTATTAACTGATGATAAGAGAATATAAAATAAGTTAAGAAATTAAATGAGTATAAAGGATAAGTTAAGTGATATGATCTATGTGAATATGAAAATGATCTATGTGCATATGTGATATATATGATATACAGTAACATATGTGAACAAGAGATGAAAATGATATACATGTTATATGGACACATGGGAAGTGTTATAAGATAAGTGACATATGAATATGAAATCATATGAACAGTGATATGTACATGTGAATATGTGACACGATAGATTGCTAATGCCCATATTATGTGTAAAGAGAGCTAGAGGTATAGTTGGCATGCCAAGAGTTAAGGGTTCATAGGTCCTTCGGGACATACAGTGGTCATTCGGGACATTTCATAGTGGTCATTCGGGAAAAATTCATAGCCCCTAGTGGGACCCCATACGAGCTGTGGTGATAGCATAGTGCACAACCTCAATAGACTCACATATCTACAGTTATCACATGTATGCATGGGCTAAAATAAAGGATATAATATGAGAAAAATGCTATGTGATACTATATGTTTGTTTGGTAAAATGATGTGTATGTATATGAAAGTATGATAATAAGATGATAAAGTTATGAAGTGAGGAATGATATGTGCGCATATGGATAATTATTTTATAGATGAATATATGAAATGTGCATAGTAGGAATTAATATATATATATATATATGTGGGTGTGATGCTTGTAAGTGATATATTAGTAGAAATTGTTCAAGCATGATTACGAGTTAGAGTTTTATTATATGTTTTATGCCTCACTAAGTCAACGACTTAGCGTGTGATGGTTTCATACGTAGGTTTGATAAACGAGAGTGGAATAGCGAGAAGCAAGACATGTCAGTATTTTCCTTACGATGATCAGATCAGAAACATATTGAACATATGTATTTTGTTTATAGAGTTAGTTGGCATGTAGTTACAAGATTTTAAATTGAATATGCTCTGATAGTTTTAAAGAAACAATTTGATTGTAATTATTAATGTCAAATACTCATTTTCTTAAATGATGAAATTAAGATTTTATTGGATTTATAAAAAATAGAGTTTTGAAAAGTCAATGTGACACCTCGGACTTAGATATGGGTTGGGGGTGTTATATTAAATGGTATCAGAGCTAAGGTTTAGCCGATTCTGAGCTTAAACCGAAGTTAAATGAGGTTTAAAAATGTGTCCATGCCAAATAAAAGTGAAAATTTATGATATGATAGTATAAGGAGTATGTTGTCTTGCTAATAGAATAAGATTTATATGATATAGTAGGAACTGATTATAGAAATTGTCAAAGTAAAGTAAATCGATAGCTGACAAATCTGATGGTGATAGCAATTCACCTGCCCTGGCCAAGCAGGATGAAGAGCGGAAACCTCAGAAAGTTTCTTATAAGATTAAAGGTTGATTTCAGAAAGTTGAAATGATATTAGAATAGTGATAGAAGATCTTTATTGTTTTGAATCGAAAAAAGATATGGATTAGTTTTGTTAGTATGTCGATAAGATAGAATATGGTGAACAAGTGTCACCATAAGAATGTGAAAAAGATCAAATGACGTGGTGAGTACTTATAGAAGAATTCAAGAATAAGTACATCAGTGATATGTTTATAAGATGAATGAAATCAGAGTTATGAACTTGAAATAAAAGGATATTACTGTGTATAAGCAAGAGTACAAATATGATAAGGGTTGGTACTTTAGAAGAAAGAGTTAGCGTTGGCTAACACGATTACATGATGAAAATTGTGTTGATTATATGAATGTGATATAGTGAAGGAAATAATGATTCTTATGTTTGAGGGAAAGTAAGGAAGTATGAAAGAAAAGACATGATCGATGTTATAAGGATATTCTTATTTATGGAAAGTAATGGAATAAGGAGAAAAAAAGATAGAGTTTACAACATTAGATATGATAAGGGTTATACAAGAAGTATTAATTATAAGTTTGATATAGATATAAGAAATGTGCATAGAGTAATATGAAAAGATCATGTGTATTGAAGTACATACAAGGATTAAGAAATGATGAAAGGTCGGATGTATATGATTGGCTAATTAGGGCTTGTGCCCTAGATTGAATAGTAGTTAGTAATTAGCTGTAATATTAAAGGTGATAGAGTTATAATATTTGGAAAAGATATAATATTGAGTTAATCAATTATAACGTGGATTTGGATTTGGTAAGGTATTCTGAGTATGTAAAAGAAGATAAGGATTTTGTATAAGAACAAGAATTTTGGGCAATACATACGGATTGTAAGAGTTACTAAGATGTGATGAAGATCGATAATCAGAGATAAGTATAAGCGATATGAAAAGAGTAAGTAATGGAGACAACATAAGAACATTAGAAGATATGTTCTTATCAATGTGTGCAATGAAAATTCGAGTACGAATTTTCTTAAAAGGAGGGGAGATTTATAACATCCCAATCTATGGGTTAGTGACTAAATTATAAAATTTTAGAACTTGGTGACTAAAGTTGAAGAATGAAATAGTTGAATGATTCATTTGGAAATATTACCTGAAAGAGGTAAGTAATTATTAGATGAAGTGAAGGGCAAAAGGGTCTTTTGTAAGGGAAATAATTAAATTAAAGAAAGGTTATATATTGACCGCGTGGAAGGGAAGAGAAATCTACAAGCTTCCAGAGTTCTCCTACTATTCTTCTTCCTTCATGCGTGGGAGCCCAAAACAAAGGTGAGTTTCTGGTTAGTTAGTTTCTTGTTAAATTTAAGATTTATTTATGATTATTAGATGATAACTAAGCTTAAGGAAAGCTTAAGTTATCTTAAAATCAAAAGATGATGGAACTATAAGAGATTAAAGATTATGAGTTTTTGAATGAAATCTTGGAATAAAGTTCATATCTAGAATTGGAAGTTAAATTTTACTTGTCATCAATCTAGTTAAGACAAACAAAGTGTTAAAAGTGGAATTTAATCATGTTGCAAAGTTGGTATAATTCTTGAATTTTATGAGGAGGATAGGATTTTGAGGTTTAAGATGAAATAAATGAGTATATATTGGTTTAAGTATGTGTATTGGAGTTAAGAATATAAAAGGGGATGAAAGATGAAGGATTTAAACCAAAATGGATAAGTTTTCGGATTCAAGAAGTGAATTCTAGGCAGAGTGCATCGATACACATTCATTGTGTACCGATGCATCATGAGTAAATTTTCAGACATTGTTCAGTGTGTATCGATGCATAGGAAGTGCATCGATGCACCCATTAAAAATGGAAACATCGAATGCAATTAGTGCATCGATGCATAAGGAGTGCATCCATGCACATGTTAAGGGATGCATCGATACACTATAGAATGCATCGATGCACTTCAAGGGGAAATAGAAATAAACCTTTCTTTTAGTCTAAAAAATGATAGATTAGAGTATATTAATTGGATACTAATATGTATCAATGTATGATTATGTAGATATCGAACACGAACAAGTTCCGGTATGATCATCAAGTTAAAATTCAATCGAAAGAAAGGAAATAAAAAAAGGGGATCAAAACTTAATGAGGGCAAGGTGAGTGCATATTCGATAGTATATGATGGTTGATGGAAATAAGACTTGCAACAAGTTTATTTCCTATAGTGTTGCGTATAAATTTATGAATAGTAACTTGTGTTTAATATGAGTGTGTGTATGCTTGTTTATATGAATTGATTTGTTCTTGTATGTGCTATGTGATTTCTTTAAAGACACTATTAAGTGATGATAAGAGAATATAAAATAAGTTAAGAAATTAAATGAGTATAAAGGATAAGTTAAGTGATAAGATCTATGTGAATATGAAAATGATCTATGTGCATATGTGATATATATGATATACAGGAACATATGTGAACAAGAGATGAAAATGATATACATGTCATATGAACACATGGGAAGTGTTATAAGATAAGTGACATATGAATATGAAATCATATGAACAGTGATATGTACATGTGAATATGTGACACGATAGATTGTTAATGCCCATGTTATGTGTAAAGAGAGCTAGAGGTATAGTTGGCATGCCAAAAGTTGAGGGTTCATAAGTCCTTCGGGACATACAGTGGTCCTTCGGGACATTTCATAGTGGTCCGTTGGGACAAATTCATAGCCCATAGTGGGACCCCATACGAGCTGTGGTGACAGCATAATGCACAACCTTAATAGACTCACATATCTACAGTTCTCACATGTATGCATGGGCTAAAATAAAGGATATAATATGAGAAAAATGCTATGTGATACTATATGTTTGTTTGGTAAAATGATGTGTATGTATGTGAAAGTATGATAATAAGATGATAAAGTTATGAAGTGAGGGATGATATTTGCGCACATGGATAATTATTTTATAGATGAATATATGAAATATGCATAGTAGGAATTAATATATGTATATGTGGGTGTGATGCTTGTAAGTGATTTGTTAGTAGAAATTGTTCAAGCATGATTACGAGTTAGAGTTTTATTATATGTTTTATGCCTCACTAAGTCAACGACTTAGCGTGTGATGGTTTCACACGTAGGTATAAGAAACGAGAGTGGAATAGCGAGAAGTAAGACTTACGATGATCAGATCAGAAACATATTGAACATATGTATTTTGTTTATAGAGTTAGTTGGCATGTAGTTACAAGATTTTAAATTGAATATGCTGTGATAGTTTTAAAGAAACAATTTGATTGTAATTATTAATGTCAAATACTCATTTTCTTAAATGATGAATTTAAGATTTTAGTGGATTTGTAAAGAACAGAGTTTTGAAAACTTAATGTGACACCTCGGATTCAGATACGGGTTGGGGGTGTTATATTAAATGGTATCAGAGCTAAGGTTTAGCCGATTCTGGGCTTATACCAAAGTTAAATGAGGTTTAAAAATGTGTACATGCTAACTAAAAGTGAAAATTTATGATCTGATAGTATAAAGAGTATGTTGTCTTGCTAATAGAATAAGATTTATATGATATAGTAGGAACTGATTTTAGAAATTATCAAAGTAAAGTAAATTGATAGCTGACAAATCTGATGGTGATAGCAATTCACCTGCCCTGGCCAGGTAGGATGAAGAGTGAAAACCTCAGAAAGTGTCTTATAAGATTAAAGGTTGATTTCAGAAAGTTGAAATCATATTAGAATAGTGATAGAAGATCTTTATTGTTTTGGATCGGAAAAACGATATGGATTAGTTTTGTTAGTATATGGATAAGATAGAATATGGTGAACAAGTGTCACCATAAGAATGTTAAAAAGATCAAATGATGTGGTGAGTACTTATAGAAGAATTCAAGAATAAGTACATCAGTGATATGTTTATAAGATGAATGAAAACAGAGTTATGAATGTAAGCCCCTCAGACCGATGCGGATAGCCCGATCCGATCTGGAGTGTCACATTAAGGCCACCGGAGCGACCCACTAAAAAAATAACGAAAAATTTAAAATTTTTCTTAAAACATGTAAACTCATAAAATCATTTATGAGTACAAAATAAAATTTATCAGTATTCGAAATATAACAGATTTTCATACTCATATATAAAGCAAAATACAATTACATGCCCCCTAATCACATGTACCATACTCTGCAAGCAACGCCTAAAGAACTCCCTTACTGATATTGATAGCTGTACTAGTACAATCTTTTAACATGCAATGGTGCGTAATAGAGTGAGCTTTGAAAAGCTCAGTAATACAGAACTACTAGATGATACTATAGGACATGTAGATAAATGGGAAACCGTAATTTCCTTATTGAATCAACCGTATACCAATTACGGAATAATATGGGTTTCCATTAGTAGTTCATCGAGTAGAAGCCATGAATCTCAGTTCATAAGAAACCTTTCATACAGTCACGTTTTCATGAGGTCAAATAGGATGACTAGTGTGTTCCATCAGTACGATAAAATCATAATAGGTACACTAATCAAATGATAGTTCAGTAAATCCCATAAACCATACTATAGTAGAGCTTTTTAAACTCGTATTTTTAAAACCATCATACAAAGAGTTAACCTAAGGCAATATCTCAGGGTTTGAGAGCCTATCCAAGAAAGTTCGGGGCCATGAGGCCTACTTAAGAACACATCTTAGGGCCGCAGGGCCTACCCAAGAATGATCTCAGGGCCGCAGAGCCTACCTAAGAGTCACATTAGGTCCATAAAAAATTTTCAGCTTGATCAGAGCTATACTTTACAAATATGTACCTCTAAGATGCAGTTTATACAATGATACAAATCCATAAGCCATCACCGTTAAGTCGGTGCATCCATAAAACAGTAACCATAGATCTCAGTGTACCACATGTTAAAACAATAAAATAATTTTTTCAAAATATAAGGAACACACTAGAGAATCCAAATATTTTTCAGATGCAATTTGTAGTTATCAGTATGGATAACATGAACTTGTGCAATTTGATCGGATTCCAGGAATAAGATCTTATTGAAGAGAATCGATTTCTAACCGATCTAATCAGACACTTCAAATTGATACTTTAGAATTCCACTAATTTTCCATGTGCATCAGGAAAACATTCAGGAACCTTTATACATAATAATTCTAAATTCAGATTTACTGCGAGTGATTCCATTACCCAAACAATTAGGGGTATTCAGGAATATACTTTGAATTTATAGGATTTCAGCCCAATTGAACCAAATGAGGTATTCAAAATCTTTTCCTTCTGCGTTACTTGCATTTTCAAATATGACCAAAGTGATTTTAGATGAAAATGTTGAATTGAAGATTCAAGTAATTTACAATCTATGACTATCGATCGTATTATCAAAAAACTTGAGTTACACAACTCCCAAACTGATACATGTCAACAAATCAATTCATTATCCTTCCAGTGTATTCACCTTTTAATACCATAATGCAGATCCATAGATCATCCCCATAATCATCGTTGAATAGATCTTCCAACGGTCTTTATTTCATTTCCACGTTTCAACGATATCAGGAAATACGGAAGTACTTAATTCATGGTTCAACCCATAAGGATAATTCATCATGTAAGTCCAACAGTGTTTCCAAACTCATCCAATCACCTATTTAATCCTCAGTCATTGAGCTTACTTAGTTCATTTAGTAAGCAAGTCTATCCCAGTTACTTTAGAGTTTTCTAGAACAATTAAGACATTTCTGAATTTCAAATACATGTTGTACTTCCTTTCAGTTCAATTTATTCATACAATAA